CCAGAGTTACGTTTATAGTTAGAACGTTTTAATTTTTTGGGCTCCCTGTGTTAACAAATAAACAGGAAGCCTACAAACTTCAAACGGCTCGTTGTGCAAAACGCGAAGGATGCGAAGGAGACTAGTTGTTTTGTATTTCGTTTAGCTTTTTTTGGCTTTCATAAACTTGGCTGAAACTATTGTGTTTGTACTTGGAGCTCTCAAAATTTCAATTAATTTTCAATTAATAAATAAACAAAACAAAGTAAACAAAAAAAAGATGTAAAGCATTAATAATTGTTCAAATATAAATTTAGGAAAGGGTGTTGTTCCAGAAAATAAAGAACTACTATTCTTCTATGGGAAAGTGGGATGCATGGCATTGATATTTTCTACATACAGATTTTACAACATTTTATTAGAAAAAAATATTTTGCACCTTAACAATAATTTAATAGGTCAAATGATTTGAGGGGAAAATAACTTTGCATGGTAAAAATATTTGATTGGTTCATATTACTTTAAGGGAAAAATTTACACTGCACGGTAACAATCATTTGATTGGTTGAATAATTTGAGGGAAAAAAACTTTGCACAGCAAAAATAATTTGATTGGTTGATCAAGATATTTTGAGGAAAAGTAACTTTGTACGGCAACAATGATTTGATTGGTTTATCATGATTCGAGGAAAAGTAACTTTGTACGRCAACAATGATTTAATTGGTTTATCATGATTTGAGGAAACATAACTTCACATAGCAACCAAATTTGATTGGTTGAATAATTTGAGCAAAAAGTGAAGATCATTACTATCACTATTGTCACTAACAAGCCATCTTGGAGGTAAGTGCTTTTTTATGATTTTATTGGTGTTGGTCCCCTAGATAATAAATACTAGTATTATAATAAATACTAGTATTTATTATCTAGGGGACCAACATCAAGAAAAAAAGCGTTTTTTTTGACTGCAGAGAGCTGAAACTTCGCATAGATGTGTAATAAATTAAGAACAATATTGTGTGAGTTTGAATTCATTTTATGAATATTTCCTACTTTTATTGAATTTTTCGTTTTTCCCCACAAGACCTTCAGAGAAAAGCCGACAAGTGTAGTGCTTGGGCTACCTGTGGTTTTGTTGTGCCCAACAGTACGATAATACAAAATATCACCATTTCTTCCGCTAAATGTTGTTTATTGTAGCTCATTGTAGCTCATTTTAGATCATTTTAGGTCATTTTAGATCATTTTAGGTCATTTTAGATCATTTTAGGTCATTTTAGATCATTTTAGGTCATTTTAGATCATTTTAGGTCATTCCTTCTTTTAGTAACTACGCCTCTTGTATACCGAAGCACGGCACTTTGAGATTTTTCGATGACGCCTGACGGAATGTTCTTGATGCATACATGGTTGCTTGCATTGATGGATTGATTGATAGATTGATTGACTGATCTTTAGCTTGATTAGATTTGGTTTAGGAATAAGCGATTCCGAACAAGGCAACCAGCAAGACATATCACCCAGTATCAACATTCCTTCTTCTGGCAACAACACCCTTCATACGCCTATCCCATCCCAGAAGACTTTTTTTGCCCGCCACGTCGCATGCAGGACTGGGAATCATTTGCAACTACTTCGGCGGTGTCAGTAGGTAGGGCATTGGACCAAAACCCAGAAAGCCTACCAATTCCACCCTGGTACTACCTTGATGAAGGCCGCTATAGTGTCAGTAGAAACTGCCTTCCAGATAACCTCAATCAAGGTTTATTGCATCAGTAATCAGGGATATTTTTAAAAATTATTAATAATTATTAATAATTATAAATAATAATAATAATTAATAATAATAATTAATAATAATTAATAATAATAATAATATTAATAATAATAATTAATAATTATAATTATTATAATTAATAATTATTATTAATTATTTTTAAAAATGACTTTTAAGATAATGTCTATACTATATGTGTTATTAACCATGAAGCCATAGCATGGTTAAAATACAGTTTTGCACTTAGGGTTCCAGGGGCGGATCCAGCTGGTGGGTGCAGGGGGGTGCACACCCCCTCCTGAGATCTGTATCCTTCAATACTTTCCTTATTTTGTATCTTCATGGTAGTGATTTTTATGGGGTGCACCCCCTCCTGGGAGCCCCACACCCCTCCCTGAGGAAAATCCTGGATCCGCCCTTGGGTTCATGTTGCCAAAGCAGCAAACGTCTTTGTATTTTTTACCAATCTAAGAGGGGACCTACTTTGACACAAAAACAGTTATTTTTTCGTATTTGCTTTCCCATGCTACTTTTCGGTCTTAGCTTTTATAATGTAATGTTTTGGAACCCGACTACGTTATATATTATTCATTATCAATTAGAAGGATAGTGAAGTTTTAGTAGTATAGTTATTGTAGTTTGGTTATCAACGAAAGGGTTGTGAAATAATGATATATCATTATAAATACAGTAGTAGCATGCTAAAGTGTATTTCAGGGGTTCATGACGACTATATTATTTGTAAGCTCTTTTGAATTTAAATAAAGTTATTATTACATAATATTGTATTGCATTATACTTTTAGTGTTTAAAATCCAGAAGACAACAAATTTGAAATGAATTGCTTTATTTTATATTTCTACTAAAACAATTTAGGATCATTATGAAACTCTAGATATTTCATAGTTGTTGGCATAAGACCTGAAACAAGAAAGAGTTCAGCATAAGTTTAAAAAGAGAAACAACCACAGAAATATACTCAGCCCTTGACTACTCAATCACCCACCCCACATCTTCTTGGCCACCCTTCTCACAAACATTTTACTCATTTCTCCCCCAATAACTTCTCAGCTCCCCCTCTTCCATAATGTTTGCAACCACTACTCCTGCATCTTCTCATACAACAACCTCCCCCAACATCTTCTACCCACCCCTTCCCAAACATCTTCTACCCACTCCTCCCCCAACATTTTCTACCCACCCCTCCCCCAACATCTGCTTACCCACTCCTCCCCTAACATTTTCTTACCCACTCCTCCCCCCAACATCTTCTACCCACCCCTCCCTCAACATCATCTTACCCACTCCTCCCCTAACATCGTCTTACCCATGGCTCTTGATCTTTTGATAGCATTTGTTATCTGCCTTTGGCGTTTTTCACACAAACCTGAAATATTCAATTTAATCAATAACTAGACGCTTGTAAAGCGTGATGCGCCCACTCCTCCCCTAACATCGTCTTACCCATGGCTCTTGATCTTTTGATAGCATTTGTTATCTGCCTTTGGCGTTTTTCACACAAACCTGAAATATTCAATTTAATCAATAACTAGACGCTTGTAAAGCGTGATGCGGGCTAGCTTAGCAAAAGATTCACAATACAAGATAAAAATTGTATCTCCAATGAATATTGTGACTATGACGTAACTATATATGAAAGTAAAATATGCCGTCGAATACCTTAGTTTTCTTTGCAGTTCAATTCTTATTGTTAACCTTCACTGTCTGCTATAATCTTATCATATATTAACTATCAACCATAATCTTTTTGCTATAGTGATTGTCCTACATTTGCAATGYATTTTGTAAAAATATTTATRGRAGCTCTTWACTTCTTGGTTAGCGATATCACATCTATTATCATTTACATAGCAATGCATTTTAGATGGCATGAGTGCATTCTTTAAATTTTGTTTTTATTAGCCTTTCTTTCGTACAAAAGAAATCTAAAAATTGAAGCAAAACAAAGCTCAATTTCAAAACTTGTACTTTGTCATTTCTAACTAATAAAAAACCCCGATGATATTAAAGCAATTTCTTTGAATTTAAACAATTTGTCAATTAAACAGAAGAATACCTTTTGCTGTCTATAAATGTGGAAAAAAAGCCAGTATTTGAGCTGATTTCATGTTGAAGCTGTACTGAATAATCATCGAGCTGGACTGGTGAGGAAGGCGAGACTATTTTCGATGCAAAATCGTCTTAAAATGATAACTAGCAAGCTTGAAACTTCACAAATGCAAAATCCTAGTTCAATTCTTCAATGAGAAAGCTTTTGGTATTTCTTGTTGATAGTTTTTGAGTACTTTTTTCTCTGTTATCGGCGAAGTACCCGCCATTTTGGATTCTTGAGAAAATTTTCAGTTCGAGAGAGACTGCAAACTAATAGGCTTCCTGTGGTTCGAGAGAGACTGGAAACTTCGACCCGACAACGCGAAACGACCCGACAGAAAAAAGGTAAAACTATAGCTGGCTAGCACAGCTAGCCTGCTAATAATTCAGTTTCACATTTGAATTAACTAGCCACCACATTTTACATACACTAGATCAATTCTACTTGATAAATGTTTATGTAATAGTCATTTATGTAATAATTCTATTATTGATGGTTTTCAACCATTCCCAGGAGAGAAAGTTAAACAAAAGATGTCCGCCATTGCTGGTGGACCTGACAAAAGAAAATCACCACCGTGACTGGTGGACCTTTTTGTTTTGCTCACTCTCATGGGAATGGTTGAAAACCATCAATTAAAATAATGATAATATACTTAAATTTTCCAGTCAGGGACTCAGTTATATTTTACCTGTAACTTGTTTTCCATAGATACGTCCAGTATGCGAAGACACAAACTGAGACAATAAACGAACATTCTAAAAAGAGAACACAATGTAATTGTTATCAAAGTTTGCTACGGTGACTGGTGATTTATATGCAATATGGAAAAAGCAGTAGATTATCTTTGATAGGGAAAAGAGTGCCTTCAGTGGTTTCATAGATGTAATAGACCTTTTCTGAGATAGCAATTTGCATTGCATTGTGGTCTAGGTTCAGTACCAACAACTTTTGTTCTTGTTGACAAATATAGCGGTGTTTGTGCTGAAGCTAGACTACATATGCACTATGATTTTGTATTTCAGAAAAGGTCTATGCAAGCTACCAACCCTCTTGCTGGCAGAACACCATTTAACTGAACCTCGGTTATTTTTTTTTATTTTTCAAGTTATTTACTCCAGTTCTGCTGGTTTTGCTCTATCACTCAAAAATTAACTGGGTATCCTTACCCATACCCCCTGGGTATCCCATCCCTACCCCCTGGGTATCCCCACCCCTACCCCCTGGGTATCTCCACCCCTACCCCCTGGGTATCTCCACCCCTACCCCCTTGGTATCTCCACCCCTACCCCCTTGGTATCTCCACCACTACTCCCTGAGTATAACCAACCCTCCCCTGTGAGTATGTTACCTTGTAGTTTATTTCTATATCTGTTCTTTTGGGGCATAAAACACAGCCAGTGGGTCTGTCCTCTTCATCAAGTCTCTACAAAATGATAACTAAATTCAATATACAGATTATAGATAACAAAATCAAGAGAAAATGGTCAACTTGCCAATTTTGCCTCAGTAGTCACACATAAGGTATCAAAATGAGGCACTGTGCATAAAGCTCAGTCATTCATGGAAAGACAATAACATCTAACTTGTAAGTTTTAAATCAAAATTGAAAAAAATTGATGTAAATTACTCTGTTATTGTCTTAATGTCTTTACAACTGAACAATGTTAATGGAAATGATTGTATTTGAATGATACACCTATGACTAATCATGTATTACCTCAAAGCGTGCCTTGAGTTCTTCTTCCCTTTTTATTCTCAGTTTTCTCTTTCTTTCTAAATAGTGGTACTTTCCTTCCTCAGCTGGTAAAGTAGCAAAAAATCTCTCATCACATGAGGTCAATGGTATTAATTTTATGTAGTAATATAATAATACAATATTTTGCTCTACATAGTTCCAGCACTCTATCAACTTGGTTACAACTTCAGTGTGAGATCTTTCTCATTAGCAACCTATTCCATAAAGGAACTTATGTGACTCATGACCCATCATCTTGACTGTGAGTGGAGCTGAATTTAAACTTTAACGAACTGGAATTGTTGTTAAGTATTTAGAGCACTAACTTATACAATGTGTACTATAAAGTTCTTAAGCTTTAAAATGTAGGTGATAAAAAGTGTGGGTGATAAAAAATCATTTGTTGAGACATCTAATATTCAATTCAAAGTCTGAGCTTTTCTTCTAAACAATAATCAATAGTAGTAATGATAATATAACTACAATTTATTAATTTAAGCATAAATATGAGTTTTGTGTGAGCAAAAGCTCGGGCAAAAGCTGTACGAAAAGCTCTTGCGATTTAACACGGACGTTTAATGTCATAAAGAAATAAAGAAATACCTGATGAAGTGAGATGAATACCACGAAGACATGTAAATGATAGATATCCAGTAGATTTTTGTGCTAAAAAACGAGTGTTTTGCAGAAGTTTTTTTGTGCAGGCAGCCGCCATCTTGAATTTCTATGATTGGTGATGTCAGCTGACCTAAATGTTTGTCAGCTCAAAGAAAGTAACTGATCGAATGCATGGGATAAATAAACAAATAAATTAATGAATAACAATAAAAACAGATCAAATTGATGATGGATGAATAATTCGATAAGGTGAAATTATAATCCATTATCAAGAATATAATGACATACAGCAAATTTACGCAAGCAGAAATAAATTAACAATTTAGACGACAGTTGAGTGGACTACGAGTTGATGTTCCATAGTTCAGTAGCCAATCAAAATAAAGTACTCAAGTGTGACATCACAAAAATACTTTTTTTCGAATTTTTCTACCAAAATTGTGTCCTATAGTGCCATTTATAGTGGAGATACAAGCGATTTTATTACTAATGTAAATTTGGTCTCGTTCACGACAGGAAATGGCACTAAGACACATTTATCATGGAGGGCAAATTTAAAAACATTTTCGTTTTGTGACTAATATGCCACTGGCTATGACACTATTATCTAAAATGCAAATTACGACCTGATAGTATTAATAGTTTATTATTTATTAGTAAAGTCTTGCATACATCAAATGACTGATGTCGGTCAAATTAGACAATAAAATTATCCAAGACCTAAAAATCTGGTGACTAAACCAACTCTAGGGCTTATTGTCAGCTAGTCTACAACTAATATAAGCAACTAAATTTGGATAGAGCAGCACTCCATAGTGGGTTACATCTTAGCAATGCAACTCAGATTCTTCTGCAGTTATTTCTCACATTTCCACACATGACTTCCGCTAGTTCTTTATGTGAAGCTGCAAAAGAGTCTATAGTAATCCATTTGGCAGTGTACTTTAAACATTTTGTAATGAATGTATGTTAATAAGAGATATATATAGACTCCATTCTTGTATCTTGGCCATGATACAAAGTAGTACAACATCAAACATTTCAATCGCATATCCAATTTTGTAGAGTACAGTTCATAATCTAATACTAGATACATTTTGTTCCGTACATATAGTATAAATGTTGGAAGCATTGACTTGACTTGAATCAACCAATACTTGAAGGTTCTTGTTATTGTTTATACCAATAAATATAGTACATTACTATCAGTCATAATGAACATATCAATGTAGAGCTGCAATTGAATTCTTATATGAATTTATCGACAAGAAGCAGGAATTTTGTAGTTTAGATGCCAGCACCATTTGGCAGTTCTTGTTCTGGATCAAGTTCATTGTACCATCATAATACTTGTATAAAAAATGTAGACTCCTGCTACTGATGTTCCTAAGGTTAAAGTACTCAGTCATCATCACTGATTGATGCCTAAAATATCCAAGAAACCTGCCTCCTGCTGCATAGATTTCATATACTGCTATATATTTCAATAAAGTTGTCATTTTGTAAGGCAAATGCAATAAAAATATTTTTAAACAAAACACATACAAAAATACAAACAATTTTAAGTTTTAGAGCGATAAAATTGCTGCATTGATATTTCTATCAGTACAATATATGGGTCTTGGGAAGACTTCAAGATTTTGTGTTGTATTTTATGGCCTTTGAACCTGAAAATCTTATTTGAAATAGCAGAATATTGATCTATAGCAAGAAGACATTTCCTTCATTAATATGTTGGTGACATTGACTCCATCACAGATTGCTGCTGGTATGTTGTATCTTGCTTATCATTAGGTAAACTATAATCTTGTGTTTCATCAGAATCATCGTCATTATGCCCTGCAGTATCATTTCTAGCCTCTTTTGTAGCATTCTGATACACTACAGCTCCATTTAAAGGCAAAGAAGCCCTTGGCGTTTTGTCCATAGTGTCATCGCTAAGATCGATTAAAATGTCTGTTTCCATTGGCTCCATTTGTCTGCTTTTAGATTGATGCGAATGACGCCTGCTTTTTTTGGACGAACCCTCTGCACCTTCAACAACTCTTTCTTTCTTGCTGCTTCGTTCACTGGTGTTTTCAGTATCGTTAATGTCAATCAGTTGTGCTGTTTTCACTTCATTTTCTTCAATGACTCTTCTCTTCTCTGATATTATAAATAGTAATTTATATTATAATTATTTCAAAACTGAATCCAACACACAGAATGCAAGCACAACAGAATAAAACCTGATTACTTCAAGTAGATGAAAGAATTTAAATTTAAGACTTAGCAGCTTAGAGTACAAACACTAAACTGTGCAACATAAATACCACTAAATACTGCTAAATTATGCTGATTCTATTGTTTTCTATTGTTTAATTAACACTATTTTGTAGTAAATAGTTGAAAGTGTTGCACACATTTAATGTTTGTACTCTAGAGAGAAAAAGAGAGAAAAAGGTATACTAAATTGAATAAGAGTAAATGTCACTCACCGAGCTCTCTACTCTTTATTGCCTCAACTTTTTCCCTCAGTGATTCAACCTGCTGAGCCATGACACTGACTGTTGACTCACTGTCTCTCACGTCACACAAAATATCCTGCAGTACAATAGCAAAAAGCATTAAAAGGTATCTCAAGAATGCAGCTATACCTGCAAATGGCTTAGCAAACATTATAAGCAGAAAAGGGGAAAAAGAGCTCTGATTTATTTCCTGGACCTCCATGTAGGGATGGATTATTACATTTGTTTTGTTTTTGACTAAGATTTTACCAAGTGCCTTGCGTTTTACCTTCATTTTTGTTACCAGAGAGATGTACATAGAATGAGATGATAGAGGTTGCTGGAGACATCCATCTTTATCCATAAAATCCTCTCTATAAATTGAGAAATAATGATATTATTTTTTACTATTCTGAAGACAACAACATGAAAATCAGTTCAATGATTGAGTTGAGATTTTGAGCCAAAACGCTTTATGTAGATAGGAAAAGTCTCCCTATTATCCTCATTGTTTTAAAATTCAAATCAAACCACACATGGAGTAGGTTTATCAGAGGTATAGAGAATCAATTTAAGACTAAAACTCAACCAAAATATTAAAAAAATTTGAAATGTTGTTTTCAGAGTCTCAACTCAATATAATAATACATTTTCATGATAAACATTGGTTTTATTTTACGGGTACAATGTTGGTGTGTCCTACAAGTTTTGTACCTGTACGCATCCGTTACTTCTTCAAATAGTTTTGACGCTGTTCTGATTGTGTCGGGTTGTGCTTTATACTCAGAGTGTGAAGTATCGCCTAAATTGATCACTTTTAGTTCATGACTATCAAACAAGCTGAAAGATAACAAAGGACACATCAACAACTGGGTAAGTTTATATATCACTAGTCCCGCAAGTGTAGAGAGCAAATACATATATATGTATTCATTTTAAATTACACTTAAAATTGTTTAAAGTACACATTATTGCTCTTTATAAAATGCATGTTTTTCTTTTCAATGTACAGCCTTTTTAGAAAATGTTCAGTACCGAATTTAGCTGTATCCAATATCAAAAGGCGTTGTTGGTTGCCATAAAGGGGATTTCACTTTTTAACACTGACTATGCCAGCCCTGTACCTTTAWTATAAAGCAATTAAGTCGAGAATTGTCATTTTGTAATGCCATTTAAGTAATTCAAGAGCAACAATGCATTTCCATCTTTAAAATCACTACCACAGTAATCGGTACTCAATGTTTTTTGGATAAGCTGTAAATTATGCTGTAATTTATTGACTTTAATAAAAGCCAATTTAGAATGGCATAGAGAGCTTACCTATTTTTAGAACTGGAGGTATAAATGGTGTAGTTGATAGAATGCACAGAAAATTCTTTTTCTATTGATGCAGTAAATATAATAAACAGGAATTCTACAAATCAACAAGAAGAATAAAAGTCTACAAAAGATAAATTTACATTAGTTATTCATAATATTTATCTGGTTTATCGGAGAACTTTTTTGAGTATTCTTTAATAGCGCCTAAGTAGTTGGTTCATGAAGCTGATAACCAGGGTATTCCAGTACCACAAAATATATCTTTCTTATCATATTGTTAAAAGAGCATTTAAGGTTGCCTTTACGTCTCATGAAGTGTGCAAAGTTATCTTAAATTCTTATTATTATTAATACCTCTACAAGGACTAAATCTCATCTCATTGATGAGGTTATGGTGGATATGATGTTCTCTCATAGACACAATTGACTGTGTATTCCGCCGGAACTTATACCAGCCAATAATATTCTAAAATAAATAAGAATAAAAAAGACTAGTTTGTAGGATTTTTGTATAATTATTTACACATAAAGATATTCTATTTTCAATACAGATAAATGAATATCTGGAACATCAATTGGCATATTGTAGCTCCAAAAATATATTTAAACTACACCCCAATCATACACACTCTCTTTGACTCACAGGAATGGGTAAATATTGAGTGCCAAGTGCGATGGTCAAAATGGAGATACAGAAAAATGGAAAATACAGAACAAGCTGAAAACTGTCTTGCAAAAGTCTACAATAATATATTTATATTTGGTTTTAGATTAAACCTCATCCCCACCCTCCCTCCCCCCCTCCACCTTTCATTCAGTTATGTCCTATTTGCAAATGTTCTTCACTGGAGCTTACATGTAGCTAAAATCTATCCCACACCCAACAAAGCCATTTATGTTCAACTGATGGTCATTGTCAAAAGGGTCCAGAAAAACCTACATAACAGTGGTAGCACCATGTGATACCTGGAATGTGACAAGTATTTCTGGAACCTTTCCCCGTTATACTACCAGTTCAACAGAGGTACATTTTGACCAAGACAACCTCAACATTGCTGTTGACAGCCCAGACTACGCCATTGGGAACCCTGTGCCTTCTCTCTTAATGTTACTTACTTTGTTATGTTTCAAGACTGTATTTTGAAGTTTTTTGTGGTCAATTCTTCCAACATTATCATAAAAACTAAAAAAGAAACAAGAGGTTAAGCTGGAATTGTACATTATGTACGTGCTTTAAACTATACATTTATACATACATAACATACCTGAATGTATTATAACATGGGATTAGGCCTTGAATAGCTATGGAAAATAACGAAAAACATCAATAAAATACACAAATTATAATATCGATTTTATCTGGAAGTGTCAGAGCACGCTATCGATCCCCGCCAAACATATTGTCATGCAAAGACTAACTGGATCGTCAAGTTGTTTGTGTTAGCAATTAAAATTCGTCATTCAAGTTAATGTTTTGAAATACTTCATCATCAATTTACGTCAATGATAAATCTAGATCAATGAAGACTTACTTGAAACTCGTTCATATGTCAAATGCTGAGACGACGTATCACTGATGTTGGTCACAGCCCGAGTGTTGACTTCTCCAATCAAAAATCCTTCCTGCAAGAATACTGACACTAAATTAAAGACTGACGCATTGGCTTTTTAGGAAGACGTTCAGTTTAAGATTACCGAATCCCCTTTGCTGTTTGCAAGCTCTAAAAGTAACGAAGACCACACAGCTCCCGACACACAAACCTCCATCTTGGACTCATCGAGAAAGCCGCTGCGCTATGTAAACTTCACGCGGGCTCTTTTGACGAAATGACCCATGGGTACGAAAAAAAAATCTTCCCAAAAAAGTTGTTTATACTTCAAGGTGGATCAAAGCCTCTATCTACTTCAGCATAATAGCATAATCAGCATATTTTCAAAGCTCTTCTTTTTTTCCTTTTTGTTTTTTAATTTTTTTACGACAGAGTCAGCGGTTACTCTGTCATTACCAGGCTACAATTGAAGTCACGTCCAACATGGCGGAAGAAAGTGTGTTGTTGTGAAGTTATAAACATTCTATCATTTGACGCGTTTCTAGGCTAAATATGCATTCTGCAACTGATAGATACGGCGTGGATGTATGCTTGACTAAAGAAGATTCTAAAGATGTCCCCGAATGCCCTCATGGTATTGTGCTAAATGCTATATTATTATCCTGTAAAAACCACGTGCGTTTAATTTACGATTTCTCATGACTACTACTTCTTTATTGCAGGTCCAATGCTGCTATTTGAACGCTTTTTTAAGGACGGCAAGCCATCTGCTAAATACTATGCCTGCTCCGCTTGTAGAGACAAGAAAGATTGTTCATTCTTTCAATGGGAAAAGGAAAAAATCAGCAAAGCAAGAGAGCAAGCGCACAAAGAAATCATAGAAAAAACAAGGCCTTTAACACAACAAGTGAATTATGACAAAGAATTGGAGAAGTTGTTTCAGGCTTCTACAACAAATAGCAGTTTATTGTGGACATTTTGTCACACATGCAATGTGTTGGTTTGGGATGATAACGGAGGCAGGCATAACGAACATAGTTTACAAAGTGGTGAAGGTCTGAATGAGCTCAGACATCCAAGTATGATTTTAAAACCACTGGAAAATGTCAAAGCTCAGGCTGTGAGTGCATGCTGTATTTTGTTCCTTAATATCACTTTGATAATTGATTTATATTAGTTTTAAAATTTGCAAAACTCAATTCAAAATTCTCATACTTAATACACAGAATAATAATCAATAGTCATTCTATGACCATAGAATTACTTATCTTGAAATGATTTATCTGTTTTTTTTCTTTACAGCAATTTCTGTTTTCTAACCAAGCAACACAATTTTTAGTATCAACCATAAGAAAATTAGGATTCAAGAAAGTTTTGTGTTTAGGAACGCCAAGGTACAGCATAGTACATAAAGTTATTGCTTAAAATCAACTCTTTAGATTACAGAAAAACTTTCTCAGTTATCTTACGTATTTTTGTTGTTTCAAGCAAGCTCTACCTACATGTACATGTAGCCTGATTTTTAAACAGTTCTGTATTAAAGTCAGACCTAGACCTGTCTGAAAATCAGGCTATACTCTATACAAGGTTTTCATCACAACAATTCATTGTTTAATATAATTCTACATTATCCCCATTCTGGTCTACTTAAAAATTTCAATTTCCAACTGTGTCCATGCTAATTTCTAATAATGTTATTTCATAGAGTGCATGAAAAAATTCAACTTAACAAAACCAAGAAAAGCAAGCACAAACCAGCAATGAATAGCCTTCTACTTGACATAGACTATAGATATGTAAGTGTACAGACTGTAGTTTTTTTTAAGAACTACATTGACTTTGCCCAGCATTATTGGCAAGTTTTAACATTTTGTTGGAAGGTGCAGCACACAAGTGAAGGATTTTTTTTAAGTGATAGCTAAGAAGTGGAAAATGTATAATGGCAATATGAAAACAGTTAAAAATCAAGCAATGAAGGGGAGTTGATAGAAGGTAGAAGCAAGGAAAGATGACAAAAAGGGGAAAGAAAAGAAGTGACCAAAGCATGGAGAATATAAGGAAAATGCTAGAAACTAAGATAGCAAAAACGTCACGAAATCACGTTGTTGACCTTCCTTTTGTTGTGTGTGTGTGTTTTTTAATAATAATAATACTTTTTCAAACATAATTTTATTCTTACAGGGGCAATTCTTTCCTTCTGGGTGTTTTGCTTACTACAACATGTTCAACAATCACTTCTTTGAAGAAAATGGCCAGCAAACCTTATTAGAATTTATGAATTCTAGTGAAGGAGATGACATGGTTTTAGTCATGGATCCTCCATTTGGTGGTCTAGTGGAAGTCTTGGCTGCCACTGTAAAGAAAATATGGAGGTTTTGGAGAGATTGCACAGCAGTCAAAGGTGAGTTTAATATCATATTTATCATTATATTTTCCCCTAACTAATGTTCATCATGTTTTTATGTTTTAGACAATAAAAAAGAAATGCCAACAATGTGGATTTTTCCCTACTTTATGGAATCCCATATCCACGAGTCTTTGCCTTCCTTAAAAATGATGGACTATAAAGTATGACATATTAGTAAGAATAGCTTATTCTCTTAGGCCTTCTCTGAAATAGCAGTTTGCATTGCATTGTCTACAATTCTGGACAAAAAGGTTGAGAATAACTGCACCCTTCAGGTCAGTTCAACAAAACATGCTCTCTACCCCCTCCCCTCCCCCAAAACAATGTTGTTAGCACTCAGACAGAATCCATCAGGTATGTGTGCTCTCTAAAGTACAACTTTGAGTGAGAGGGGACGGGGGGAGGTCAGAGTATACAGAGACATTCCAACATTCAGCGATTTTTCAAACATTCTCAACTCTTTTTGTCCAGGATTGTAGATTCGTTACAAACATCTTTTGTTCATGCTGCCAAATATGGAATTGTTTGTATTAAAACCAGACCAAAATGCACCATGATTTTGTATTTCAGATAAGGTCTTTGAAGTAGAAAGGCTAGTTTTCACTCTGGCATGGCATCATGTTATGTAAGAGTTACATACCGAGAACGGAGGCAATCAGCCTAATACATCCCGAGGGCTGTAGGCCCGAGGGATATATAGGCTGATTGCTGACGTTCGAGGTATGTAACTGGCTTATTTCATACTTGAAGAAGTTTTCCAAGCACTGCATTGATATTTTCATTTTTAAATAGGCAAAGAAGCCGTTTTCATATGAATTAAAAACCAAACCCTCGATTAGAAAGATTACGAAATTTACAGTATTGAAAAATCCCAACGGGAATAATTTGCATAACCAATTTTCTCGTTAGTCCCATGAGACCAATGCTAACAATACACCTTTTGTAACAAGTAATGTTTTATTCCATAACTGACATCGATTAGTCAGTTAGCATAACGTGTTAAGTATAGGATTTTCAAAGCTAAGGTTATGGGTTCGAATCTACTTGGTGTTATTTGAATTTTTCTTTCTTTCTTTCAAGTTTAATGTTTCAGACGGAAAATTTCTAAGTTGAACGTAGTAGTTAATTAGGTATTCAAGGGCAATATATAGATATATCCCTGAAACTTCGATATAAAGCACTTGAATACACAACGAGCTGGGGAATAAGTGAGATACAACACTATGAATAACAAAGAAAACTGAATCAAGTATGAAATAAAGAGTAATTTATAAGCACATGCAGAAAAAAAGGAATTTTAAGTGTTAAAGATAGCATAAAGCATTCACTTAAGCATAAGAAGAAGTCATAAGTAAAGTACAGATAAAAGTAATAAATCTTAAGTTCATACATAACTTTACAGGTTTGTCTTGTATACAAGAAAATGTTTTTCTTAGCTTCTTTATTTGTTTGTTTTTGTTTTTTTTTGCTTCGATGATGATTGCATTGGAGTCAAGGTCATATTAAATCTGTGTCATGATATTTTTATCTTTTCATATAGGTTGACTATGAAAACCATCCACATTTTAAAGGCAAGCAAGATAAAGGTTCCAAACGTGGATCACCAGTCCGTATATTCACTAACATTGACCCTGCAAGTATTAAACTCCCAGTGGAAGAAGGATATAGGTGGGAAAATTGACTGACTAAAATAATGATTGAATGTATTATTCTGACTCTCTGGGTGATTGATTTACTTAAACTGAATATCTTCACAATGAAATTATTGAGAATTGTTACGATTTGTTTGTTTGACCAACTGACTGACTCTGGCTGACTGATTGGATTAAGTGATTGACTGATTAAGACTAATTGATTGACTAATGATAATTTGGTTGATGGACAGACAGACAGATGGATGACTACTTTTATAGGGAGATGGATAATGGAATGAATTTCCCCTTTACAGATTATGCAAGATTTGCAACAGATATGTCACCACTGAAAATTTTCATTGTTCAAAATGCAACAGCTGTACCTCCAAGGTAAAATGGTCCACTTATATGGGTTGTACAAAACATTTAGAGATTGATTAGCGATGAACCAAATGATTAATGTAGCCTGCGTGGCGGCTCTAGGGGAGTGGGAAGGGGGGAAACAGAAGGAAGGGGTGGGAAGGCAGAGAGCTGCCACGCAGGCTATGATTAATGCTGTCATGGCAACAACCTTGAGAAGCTATGATTGACACATGCCTGTTACATTGTTTTAGGATGGTCGAAAATATGTACATTGTGACCGATGTGAAAAGTGTGTTAAACCAGGTATTGCTATTTTCTCATAAAGTCAGTTCATACATTTTGAATAATCGTTCAAAGCCAAATAAAAAAGGTGGGCTTCCATTGAAAGATTTGGTTGCCATAAAAATCTCTGACGCATTTACCACAGGAAGCCCAATTCCGTTAAGCATTAGACGACTTCAGTGACCAGCACAAAAAAATTGTAGACGAGGCCACGAGAAAATACATGTACTGTTTCCCGGAACCTCGTCTGCAGTTCTTTTGTGAATGGTTACTCAACCAAAATATTTTAAGTCCGCTATTTGCCTTTTAACTGAAAACTAATACTCCAATTTCGAGTTCTGGTTTGCTCTTTGTTAGCCTCAAAACCAAGTAACATATTCCTTAGTTTCATTTATAGGCCGAGAAAATGAATGGAATTTGAAAAAAAAAAAAAACACAATAGAATTGATTTGAAATGCCACACTTTTATTCTCACAATTAGAAATATTTTGCGCACAAATGAGGCTAACACAGAGCATTGGAGAATTCGAAACTGGATTATTGAGAGCAGAGGAAGCTTAAAACAAATCGGGACTGTGGATGAACTATACTTATGCGCAAGCTAGTCCTAACGGCTGCGAGAGGAGACTATGCGCAAGCACGTTCTTTATATATTATTGTATTTCCTTCATAGGTCGTGTCCACTGTAGTGAGTGTAATCGTTGTGATCTTCCCAATCATGATTGTCAAAGGTACAGAAAAACAGACCGTTTCTTGTATGATCCATGATTCAATAGTTATTTTTTCATGTATTTTTTCGTTTTTTTTCAGGTCGTCAATAAAAGGCTGCCATATTTGCGGTGACATGGGGCATAAAAGAAAAAACTGTCCAACTCGCAATCAACCAAAAAAGTAATCAGCATTTTACATTAATCCCATCTTTGAAAGTTTTGCGAATCTGATGAGTAACTCCCAGTAGTTTTGATTTACAACGCCAACCAATTAAGCGCAGAGTCAGTCAGGTCTTTCACGATCTGTTCGATCCAAATTCAGAAAACAAATTGCAGAACAAAAGATAGTGGGTGGGGGGGGGGGGGGGGGGGGATGTTAAAAAGCAATCCGTAATACGCGTCGTACAATTGTAGTTTTTCACTATATGGACCTCAATGGTGTTAAATAACACATATATACAGTGCTTAATATAATGTCATTTTTTTCGAGATATTGAACGTACTGAGACGTGGAAATGCGCCCACCATAAATTTTCCCTGTGTTTATTTTTGCAGAAGGAAGAGCAATGTACACGATGCAAAGGGTAAAAAATCATTAAAGAGGAAAAGCAAAGATTCGTCAAATAAAGAAGCGAAAAGAAGAAAATAGACCGAAGAACTCAAGTTTTGATAAATAGGCCGGATTCAGGGGCGTGCGTAGGAAGTTCCAGAACCCCATTCCATGGCTGTCAAAGTGAAATATAACTAAGACTTTATTTTTGCTGAAGAAGGGCGAATGCAGAGAAGCGTTCAATAAAAAGTGGAAACCAAGTTACAAGTTGTGTGGCTTTATTCTATTTATAACACTAAACGGGTTAGAAATTTGGAATTTTGCTTTATTTATTTATACTTTATTTTCGGATAGTGCAACCGTTTGTTCAGTGCAAATCCAAAACAACACTCGTGCAATTTTGCAGTCAATCGCTTTCTTCACAGTAGTCTTGAAAGCCCTGGAATCTTCCTCGTAAAATCCGCACTGCTCATGCCCTGGCTGAAGTTGCGTTTTTGTAATAACGGCTAGCGACTTAGTGTTCTTGTTGATTATGCTGCATGGAATATAGAATCTGTGATGGCAATTAACTTTTTAATGAAGTTCCTTACACAAAACTGATTTGTATACTCAGCTCTACAGAAATAATGATTAAATAATAATAATTTAACGCCCAATAATGGCTGTTTTCCCTGTATTCTCCTGCTGTGCGGAGAGGTTCTCTTGTGATGCTGGGTTATCTCCCGGGAAACGACGTCAATAATCCAGTTTCGAATTCTCCAATGCTCTGTGTAAGCCTCATTTGTGCGCAAAATATTCCTAGCTGTGAGAATAAAAGTGTGAGATTTCAAATCAATTTTATTGTTGTTTTTCATTTCAAATTCCATGCGTTTTCTCGGCCTATCAATGAAACAAAAGAATATGTTACTTCGTTTTGAGGCTAACACAGAGCAAACCAGAACTCGAAATTGGAGTATTGAAGAAAATTTGCCATGAACTGATACAAAAGTGTGCTCGACTTGAAAACTTGAAAAAAAATTATAACCATTTTGAAAAAAAGTCTCCCTTTTATCATTAAAATCCCAATTATACCAGGGCCGCGAAGCGGCCTGAAAGTATAATTGAAATTATATTAACAAACGTAGTGAGAAATATATGAGAAAATAACAGGAATATTTCCATTTACTGTGCTTCGGACCACTCTTTAACGCATAAAAATGCAAAAACAATTAAGTATGACGTAATCCCAGCTTCCCCCGCGACACCAGAGGCGCGGCTACTAAGCATAGCCATTCTTGAACGCCTGTGTGAAGCTAACATAGTGAGAAATATATGAGGGGGAAAACC